TGCCTTGAGAAGGAGGGCAGGAAGTATCCCCAAGATTAAGAATTCTTGGCAGCTGCTGGGAAGTTCCTGCAATCCCTGCCAAGTGTTCACCCTGCCACAAGTAGCTGGGTCCCTTAGCAAAGTAAAATATGCCCCATCTTTAAACAAATTAAACCAAATAACAATCAACAGAGACACTCTATATACAATACTTACAGGTGTGCCCACCCCACAGACAAGACAAAAAACCAGAGTCCTTTCCATGGATTTTTCAGAAGATGTCTTATAGTGCCTGGGACTTATAGCCAGAATGCAGCCCAGAGGTCTCCCAGGTGGGGTCGCTAGTGAACACCCACAAACAGCCTGTTGTTCACAGATCTCAGTATGTTCTTCTCTCCATAATAAATGTTGACTGGCATCCAGAGTTGTTTTGGCCAACGTCTGCCAGTCCCAAGTCATCATATGGTAATTTTCAGACAAAGCATTAAGGACTCCTTTTGTAAATGGACCGCTAGCTCCATTTTGTCTAATAATTTTTCTTATTTCTTTAAAGGTATTAAAGGAGAGTGGTTCATGAATCCAATTACCTTGCTGATCTTTCATAACCAGGCAAGCCAAAAGCTCTCCTAACATAGCTTGCCTGACACATGATCCGATAAGTGAGGTTCTAGTTGAGCATTCCCACACAAGAGGCAGAGAGGATCGGGAAGGGGTTCTTCTGATGGTGGGGCCTTAGGTATTACAAGCTCTACAGGCTCTACTTTGGAAGAAGGGGGCGGTGTTAAATCCTGGCATTTTGTATGCTTTTGATCCTTAATTTGCAGTGGGGTGGCCACCTCCATCCAGCTCCTCCTGGAGGCCTCCCACCTTTCGGAGATTCCTCTTTACAAACTTTCCAAACAAGTCCTATACTTCCTCACAGGTTTCCTTGAGCTTACCTTGGCGAAGTTCAAGCAAGGGCCAGATTTACTGAGAAGAAATGAAGAAAAATTGATGGTTTTAATGGAAGAACCGCATGCAAAAGTAGAAAGGCTCTAATCCTGGATTGGAGTTCTGGGGAATTGTGGGTTAGTTGCACTTGTTGGCAAGGACTCCACACCCAAATCCAATAAGATATCATCTAGTAGGGAAGTACCCAACAGCAATTTGTGAAGATGTGCTATTCAGTTTCTAATTGCTTTGCAAGTTCAATGAAAGGTCGTGGGAATAAATGTGTAGAGGAGAGAGTGGTATGGTCTGGGGTATTAATATGAAAAATAACTACCAGCCTCTGTAGATCCAATAGATGCAACTATCCATGTCCATGCCCATTGAGAAGGCAGCAGTGGCTCACAGGTAAATATTGGGACCTTACATAGAAAGGAAGGAAAAAACTCCCATCCACATGAGATTTCAGGAGGTATCATTATGGAAAGTGCAGAAAGGTCCCCTGCTCCCGAGTCTTGCTGTCTCCTTTCAAGGTTCAGCTGAGGACTAAGGGAAAAACTCACATCGTAGCTGGTCAAACCCCAGCCTTACTTTGCCACTTCCATCAGCCATGAGAGAAAGTAGAATGTGGTGGCTAGCCTTCCTCTACCAGTGACTCAGGAAGGTGAGCTTTTTAGTTTGAAGGAAAGTTGCTTCAGGTCAACACAGGAAGTTGTCCAAGACCCTGTGAGATGTCAACGTTAGGACTGAGGGGACTCCCAGTCCCAGGGCAGATAGTCACCACAGAGTTTGGCCAGATAATGCTCTGTCCCTTGGGATGTCCTGGGCAGGTGTGGTCAGATGTGGTGCCCCCTCACTTCCTCCTGTTCTGTCTCAGGGGTGTGTAGCCTTGTTCTGAGAGTTTTGTATGAGGGCCAGTAGAACGGAGGTTCACAGGCCCTGCCAGGGGAAAGGTGAGGACCCTGAGTGAGGATGCAGGAGACCATCCAGCCCAGAACAGTGGGGAACTCACAGAATCCTGGCCTCCCTCTTGTCAGCACTGGAGGCCCATGGCTCTGCATGCCACCTGCACGCTGAGGTGTTTCCTCGTTTCCTGTCACAGGGGCTCCAGGAATCAGGGCATAAAGGCCTTGGTCTGAGGCACAAAACACAGGTCACAGAGCAGAGGAGGACCAGGCCGTGCCAGCAGTCAAGGTGAGGTGCCTGCCCTCACCTAAAGTGTGTCCTCAGGTTCTCCCCCATGTCAGGATAGAGGAGGACCCCTGCAGCACCCGACCCCACCCCACTGCCAGCCACAGAACTCTGGCTTATGTCGACTGTTCCCCAAAGAACCATCAGACTTCCTCATTCAGGATCTTAGGGGACAGGCCACCCAGGAGGAAGACCCCAGTGAGGACAATAGCACCCCTAAAGAGGAGACCTGTAGCTCTGCTTTATCAAAGCTGACAAGGGTGTACCCAGCTGAGGCCACTTACACTTCCTCTCTCCCCAGGCCTGTGAGCTTATGGAATACTACCTGGCAGGAAAAGAGAAGGCATTCTTAACTTTTGAAACTGCATGTATGGACCTGGAGATTATTATTCTCAGTGAAATAAGCCAGTCAGAGAAAGAGAAAAACTGTATGATCTCACTTATATGTGGAATATAATGAACAACATTATCTGACAAATAAAATAGAAATACAGGCATGAAGACATGGATCAGACTGACAGTTGTCAGAGGGATTGAGGGAGATGGGGATTGGATGAAACTAACTGAAGGGATTAGCCAAAGAACATCCACGCACACAGATGACAATGTGGTGAGGGCTAGAGGGTACAGGAAGGTCAGGTACTGTGTGAACATGGCCAAAGGAAGGAAAAATGGGGATATTTGTAAGAGTGTCAACAATAAAATAAAAATTTAAAGTATATTGGTATTTACAGTTACCTTCTCATAGGACATAAATAAAGGACTGTTGCTCTCAGGCATGGAGGGTGAGGCAAGGGAAAGCAGAGTAATTCTGCAGAGAATAGAGTGCTTATGTGTCAGGATGAGGACGGGAGATTCTGTGCAGCCTTAAAAGGAGGCAGCAGTCATGACCAGTTCAGCAGACCATGATCCAGGGATGGACAGGAGCTCACCCAAGGGAAGACCAGGGGAAGGGTATTGTCATGAGGGAAAATGCGGGGACAAGGCAGAAATCCTGGCACTAGGAAGACTCAGATATCAATAAACCTCAGACAATCTACACATTATGCTTAATTCTCAATATCACCTTCCTTAGGCCTGTTTTTTTTCCTGGGCTCCCGGGTGTCATCTGAAAGTGTTCATTCACACTGAGAGGAGAAATTAATTGTGAGGTAGAAGGTGGGCCATGGGCTAGAAAGGCAGGAAATATCATGGACTCCTGATGAATTCGGGCAAGGGGGCAAGACTCCACAATGCCACTTACTAGCCATGTAATCCTGAGAAAAGCAGCTGGCCCAAGGGGCATCAAGTTATTCATGTGCAAAGTAAGTGGGTCTAATAAATTCTGTCTTGTGGGAATGGAGGACAGTGTGGAGTGTTTTTAGGGCACTGCACATAGTGACTGGAGAAGATTGGAACTGTGATGAATGGCAGATATTTCTAAAATTTTTATCCCAGATACTTCGACTCTGGCCTCTGGTACTATGACTACTTGCTTGTTATCAAGGTCATATTAGAGAATGTGCAGTTCAGTAAGAAATAGAACACCCAATTTGCAAAAAAAGATGTACCCAATTCATGGATGTATGTTGAAATCAGGTGTGGGTAGCCTTCACAGCTGGACACAATACAAGGTGCTAAAAAGAGAATATAGGAACAACTCTTTCCCTCATTCTAAGCTGCTCTTTCATCCAAACAAACGCTTTCATTCATTTTGCCCCCCACCCAAAATCAACACCTTGATAATGATGGCCAGATCATACTCAAGATCATTAACATTCAATCCCAATTAGGCTGTGGGCTGTGGCTCTCCCACACCATCCTTATTCATGGCCCAGTAACTGTAATTTTGTAGAAATCTGAGCAGATGATGGGTATAACATGCCTAGTGATCATACTGTCCAATGGCACTGAGACTGCGTGCAGGAAACCACCCTTCCAAACCACGTGGAGATTTCCCTCTGGTTTATCCATGATCCCAAAGGAACTTGTCAGGACAATGCTCCATTTCACACTTCTCTCTCACACCCAGACACACAATGTGTCGCTGCCACCCCCAGCTGCCTTACAATCAACCCCTGCAGAGGGAATCACAGTTTGCCAAATCACAGTTTGCCATGGCTCAGGCCATGCACAGTTGAGAGCTGTTCCCTGGAGGCTCACCGCCTCACCTGATGTTACTTGTTCTGTAGGACTTAGGGGACCCCTAACCCCTTGCTGATATGACTTCAGCTCCTACACCATCATCCTGTGGGTGGGTGTGCCCTGCTTATGTTGGTGTCCCCACTACTAACACAGAGCCTTCCAGAGGACATAGGCTCAGTGAATATCTGGGGATTAAAGGAACCACTGAGCAGGGGTCCACTTTGTTCAGATGAAGTCCCTCCACCACTTTCTTGCCAGAACCAAGGATCCTTAAATAAGTTGCTTCATAGAAAGACAGATGAGAAAAAAAGAAATAAAGACAGATGAGAAAAGATAAGAAACAAAAATGACCACCTTTTGCTTTTATTTTTCTCCTTCTTAACTCCATTGATTGTACAGCTGCAGTCTTTCACATTTCCAAGGAAACACTCTTATTATGCATTGTTATCTAGTTTGGGATCACAAAGGAGGATTGGAAGTGTCCCAACTCGCATTACACAGTAGCAAATCTCTTACTCTTGAGCTGGACATGTACAAATATACATGTGACTAATGTCATTTACAAACTTACATGCTAAAAGCTTATGAAAACTTCTATGAAAAGGAATAACATTAGAAAATATCCCTAAAAATTCACAAATAAAGCAAAAATTTCTCAATCATCATAGGAGCTCAAACCATTCCCTGGGCCTCACTAGTGCTTTCTCCTCAAAGTTGAAAATGGAACATAGTTTACCCTCAGCAAATGAGGTTAATGCACAGGGGCCTGCAAATCTAGCTCAGGCAAAGTGGTTCTCATTACACTCAGGCCCTTCAGGCAGGAATGGGAAGGAGCGGGGATCCCTATCATTGACCCTGAGCACAAACTTGAGGGCTTTCGATGTGGTGGTCTCAGCGTGGGCCCTGGGACCCCATAGGAACTCAAAGCATGCAGGATTGCTATTGGGCACCTGGCGGTACACCACGTATTGCTCATGCACCCAAATTTTAGTGATGAGCTCCCTGGGCTCCCCATAGATCCAATGCTTCTTCCCATCATGGACCCCTAAAACATTCAGTGCTTCCCAGACTTTCTCCTCAGGGGCACAATCACCCTCTGCAGCAATCACCCACAGAAGTGTGACCAGGAGACCGGTGTTGGGATATTTGTTCCCATTGCTCACCATGCCATCATAGGAGAGCCCCAAAGAGGGGGCCAGGACAAAAATGTGGGCACTGAGGTCCACTTGTTTCACATCAATACCAAAGACCAGCTTCATGCACTCAGTGGCTGCTCTGAAAATCTCAGGGAAGTGGTCATGGTGCTCTTTGATGACACTACTCAGAATTTCTGCCCTGGTGGTTGGCTCCTTTTCGCGATACTTTAGGAGCAGGAACTCCACCACTTGAGACATCTTCAAATGTAGTGCTTTTTGGAGCAAGGAATCGGCATCGTCTTCTGGTTCTCTCTCAGTGTCTGGACTGTCCTCCTCGTGGCTGCTGGAGCTCTCATCTTCAGATTGGCTCCATGGAAAGGCTTCCAAGGCACAGGGGGAGGAGCAGTCATCCTGAGGACCCTGGGGAGGACTTGGAGTCTCAGCAGCAGACACCTTGTCTAGGCAGTCTATAAACAGGACTGAGGGGGGGAAAGACAGAGAGGAGGAGAGAGACACAGCCTCTTCCCCTTCCTCCTCCTCCTCTTCCTCCTCCTCCGCTTCCTCCTCCTCCAGTTCCAACTCCTCCAATTCCACCTCCTCCACTTCCACCTCCTCCTCCTCCTGCATAGCCCAAAACAGCTCCTCTTCCACCAGCAGGTCAGCTATCTCCCTTGGGTCCTGATGGTCTTCCTCAAGATTGCTGAGCTCACTCATATGATGGCCAGGCATGATGACTTGTGCTGAGACAGTGATGGAGAGTGGGCAGAAGATGGGCGATTTGGACCCAAGGGCCTGGGGGAGAGGGGGAGTGTAAGAAGTATGAGTTGAGAAACAAACTCCAGGCTGCTCTGACAAAGGTGACTTATAGATCTCTCCTTTAGGGGTGTACATGGGCCTCACAGGGCTCACTCCTGAGCATCCTGCCCACTAAGAACCTGAAGTAGGAGGTGACATGGCTGCTCAGGGTATAGAAGGTACAGCACAGGGTTCTGTAACTGATGGTGGGGTATGGAGGTGTCAGGGTGGGGAGCCTGTGGGGACATATTCATAGTTGGAATATCACGATAATTCCTAGCACTTCCTGGCCTTCTGCTGCTCTGTGACCTGAGAATATATAGCGAAGACCAAGGCCTTCACATCCTCCAATCCGCGGGCTCTGCTTGAGGGAATGAATGGCCACCTCAGCAGGCACATGGCAAGGACAGCAATGGGACCCCAGTGCTGATAGGAAGGGTGGCAGGACTCTGTGAGGTCCTCTCTGTTGTGGGTGGAAGGTTTCTTATAGCACATGTAGGATTTTCACCTTTCCCCTGCCAGTGCCTGGCCCCTCACTGTCTTCTGCTGGCCTGAGATTAAGCTCTCAGAACAAGACCACACATACCTGACACTTCAGTGAAGAAACAGAGGGGGCCCATATGTGGTCCCTTTCCCAGAGGATCACAAAGGGGTGACTGAAGATCTGTGTCCATCTATCCTGGGTTAAGGCTCTGATCATTTCTCACCATAGCACACTGCAGGGTTTCAGACAACTCTCTTTGCTGACTGAGACTATCTACCTAGATTTAGGCTTTAACTCCTTTAAATACAGGAGTAGGAAGTGAGCCAAGCTAACCCAAGCACTATTCTGAGTATCCTCTCTGGTGACAGAAGAGGCAGGGTAGGACTGGGCTCCCATGTGCTCTTGTTCCCCTCAGTGCTCACCTTGATTCCTGGCAGGAGCTGGAACTCGTGTCTCTGTTGACAAAATATGGACCCAAGGGATGACCGGATGGGTAGTCTCACATCAAGGTCCTCACCTTCCTGAGAGACCTGAGACAAAAGTGAACAGGTGCTCCATCTGCCCCCACCCCTGTCTAGGTTCCCAGGCAACTGACACCAAGGCCTGGCCTGTCTGTTCCAGGTACAGAGTTCCCTTAGTCTGGCCTCAAGGTACTTACCTTTCTTCCTGGATAGGCCTGGATCTGAATCCAGCTGACCCCATTTCACCCTGAACAACTGTCCTCAATGAGAAATGCTCACGAGGAGCAGGCATGTGGAAAGGGAGAGCATGTCACACCCAGGTACCCTGCCTGGGGAATCTGGATGCTGAGGACAAGACACTCCCTGATGCTGGGGGCTTTCTTGTTTTCTCAAGGAGCACATAGCTGCAGTTTTCCAGAGAAAGCACTCAGACCATTAGGGCCCTTCACCTCCTCTTTTCCTGAATTCAAGCCATCCCCTCTGACCAAGGCCCTGTCCTTCCTGAGTGCCCTGAGACAATCGCAAGGAGGAACCACCTCTGCAGACCCATGCCAGGCCCTTCCCAGGGCTGACAGCAGCACAGACTGGGTTCAGGGCACCCATTGTCTGCAGTGTGGCATCCTCCTTCCTGCCCAAGCTTCCCATGTTCACTCGTAGCGTGCCTGGAACCTTTCCCTTCTCCTGAACTGAGAATGACTACTGCAGGCCATGTCCACCATCTCTCTGAGACCTCCAAGGTGAACTTAAGGACATACCACATTGACTATCATGCCTGAGTGACCCAGTTGTGTCAGTAGAGGCTATGCCAGCTGGTCCCTGTTTTTGTTGGGGTGGGAGGTACCATCATCCTGCCTCAAGACCCACACTTTGAATACCAGCAGTGCCTGGGACACCTCCCATTGTTGTCCTGAATCCAGCACCTTCAGGACAATGCACTCACCTCCCTTTGCCACTCCTGAGGTAGAAGTGTGGAAGCAACCCAAACTCACAGGCCTAGCATGAGGCTTCCAGGTGCTGCTGGCAGGAACAGGCACACTGAGGACACTTATGACACTGGCCTAACGTCAGGCATAATTCCAGGTGAGCCCTAACTCGAGTCCTTACCTGGTGTCCTGGGAGAGCCCTGCAGCCCTTCTTTTCCCTCCTGGAGCTTACACCTCAGCCCTCAAGGGGTGGAGTCCCCTCTTCTTCTAGAAGGATCCTCACCGTGACTCCTGGCTGGGGCTGTAATCTCCTCTCTGTCAACCTGAGATGCCCAAGTCAGGAAGAAAGCATGTGGTCAATGACCAGTGGCCTCCCAGGGTTCACAGTACGGGTAACATGGGACATCTCTGTTGTGGGGTCCCAGGTCCCTCAGTCTTCCCTTTGCATGTTCACCTTGACTGGGCAAGACCCCAATCTTCCCCTCTGCCACATATGTTGTTCCCCCTGAATTCACTCTGCGGACATCAGGACTGGGCTTCTGTAGTTCCTCTCTGCCTGGCCATCCACCACAGGGCTTCCCAAGACCTTCAGCAGGGCAGACTTCTGTGGACTGCCCTCTACTTAGGGTTGCTGGATTCCCTCAGTCCTCCCTTGGAGCCCTCCTTGACCCTTCCCTCTGCCCACCTGAGACCCGGCTCCTTATACCAAACCCAGAGCCTGTAAGACTTGAATGCAGAACTCAGGAAAAGCACCTTGACTCTGGGCAGTGCCTCTGCATCCCATCTGTGGACCTGAGGCCCTACACTTCTTACAAAGTTTGCACTCTCACTCAGACCTGAATCCTGAAGTCAGGAGACACCACATGTGGTCACCCTCCCTGTGGCCTTCCAAGGCTGGGAGCTAGGTGGGGTTCTTTGTGGCCTCTACATTGGGAGTCTGGGTCCCCTCAGTCCTGACACAGGGTCCTCACATTGACCCTGGAAGGTCTTGATCCCTTCCTTTGCCGACCTGATGCTTGTTCGTTATATGCTCTCAGAGCCTGATTTGAAGGCATGAAATGCCACTTGAGTCTGGACAGTACCTCTGCCCTCCCCTCTGTGGACCTGATTATCTACACTGTTTTTTCAATGGTTTATATTATTTATAATTGAAAATTCTAGAGGCCTGGTGAAGGAAATGTGTTAGAGTAGGCTCTGTTTGTAAGTAGGCTTCCAGCACCAGCTTCGCTCTGTCACCTGGGACCTGTCTTCCCTGCCAGTCCTGGCTTCCACTGGAAGGTCATTCTGAAGGATGTCCTGTTTAAGTAGCATATTTTGATTTTATTATAATAGATTACACATGACCCCCTCCAGCCTATCCCTGTCCTCTTTCCCCCACCCTCACCACCCAATTTTCTGTATCCATGGGCCCTGAATACATGCATACAATGTCCCTGGTTGATTACTTCCCACTGTCCCCAGGTTCCCTCTGAGATAACCCAAACTGTTCCAAGCTTGCAACTGTGGGATTCTATTTGTTCATCAGTTTTCTTTGTAACTTAGATTCCACATATGAGTGCAATCATGTGATATTTATCTTCCTCTGACTGGCTTATTTCACTCAGCATCATTCCCTCCAGGACCCTACCTGCTGTCCCAAAGGGTAAGATAGTCTTCCTTCTATACGGCTGCATAGTACTCCATGGTATAAAGGTATAAATGTATGGCAGCTTTTTCATCAGATCATTTACTTGGGCTGTTTCCAGATCTTAGCTATTATAAATTTTGCTGCTATGAACATAAAGGTGCATAGATTCTTTCTCATAGGTATTTCCGTTTTTTTAGGATATATTCCTATAAGTGTGATTCTCTACACCTTATATGAAATCCTGAGTCTCACTCAGTCCTGGATACAGAAGTCAGGAAAGTCTGTATTTGGTCTTTTACCAGGGATCATCCCAAGACTGATAGCAGGGTAGGGCTTTATGGGGTCTCCTACCATGTTTCCCTGAAAATAAGACATCCTCCAAAAAATAATGCCTACTTATAGGTTTCCTTCTGAGGAAATATAAGGCATCCCCCGAAAATAAGGCCTCCCAGGCTAAACATGAGAGATTTGGTCCACTGATTCTGAAAGAAATGGAGTCACAAGAAATTCACCAGGAAATTCAGGAATTGGATTGTTATGATGATGTTCCAGAAGATGATGACATGATTGTCATTGAATAAATGAGTAAATTTTTGATACTGTAGGATTCAGTTTGTCTGGTTTGTGTGGACAACTACAGTACTATCGTACTGTATACAGGTAATAAATTTCCTTTATTTTCATTTAACAATAAATGTGTACCGTATTCTTCTTCATGGAAAAATAAGACATCCCCTGAAAATAAGACCTAGCACATCTTTGGGAGCAAAAATTAATATTAGACACTGTCTTATTTTCAGGGAAACAGGGTAGTTGTGGGGCCCAGGGTGCCCTCAGTCATCCTGTGCTCCTTACAGTGCAGTCCAGCGTATCTCAGACCTGCATGCCGAAGTCAGGAGACAAATGAAGGGGTCATCTGACATGGGGTCTCCCATGGCTTGTAGCAGGGGAGGGCTTTTATGGGGTACCCTACATTATTGGGTCCAGGGTCCCGTCTGTTCTCCTTCAGCGGACCTGTGGCTCTGCTCCTTACACTGAACCCCAGAGTCTCTCAGACCTGATGCAGAGGTCACCCCACCCTGTAGTCACCCCACCCACTCATCCCCCTAGACTGAAAATTCTGGTGTCCAGGGTATCCCAATCTCCCTCAGGGTCCACAAATTGACAGCAGTAGGACTTGGGGTCCCCCAGCTGCTGCCTAAAGCCCTGCTCCTTCTACAAAACCCCAAGTGTACGTCAGACCAAATGCAGAACTCACAAAGCACAGTGTGAGGTCACCCCTCCCCAACCCCGGGAGGCCTACCCATGGACACTGTTCTGGGGTCCAGGGCCCCCAA